GCTGGAGATCTTCAAAACCCGTCTGGATGTGATCCTGGGCAATATGCTGTAGGTGACCCTGCTTGAGCAGGGAGGTTGGACTAGATGATCTCCAGAGGTCCCTTCCAACCTAAAAGATTGTGTGATTCTGTGATTTCTTGAGCTTTCCTTAAAAATCTCTTGAGCAACAGCCATCACAAAAAGCATTTCTTTGAACCACTGTCTTCCAGAGAGTTGAAAAGTGAGTTTTTAATCTTTGCTTCCCCTGATCTCCTGGTATCCAGGTTGAAGACCTAGTATGTGGTATGTGTGAGAACTGGAGAGCTCACAGATTACATCCTCTCTAGCAGGTAAATTTTAGCACTCCTTCTTATTGTCCTGTTTAGGTCTTAAAAGCTAATGCAGTGCATCCTACCAGTCTCTCCAGTTTTTAGTGCTATAATTTAGTCAATATATTGCAGTGAGTTCACCACCTTTTTCATTGTGCTCATATACACTGTGAACTAAAGTGTTTTTTCTCTTCTTTAGGCATTATCGTTAATGCATGTAGTCCTGAAACTGTTACATGCATGTATCGATTGATTACATGATGTGTCTATAGATAGCAAAGAACTTTATTTTGTTGTAGTATGAAGTATTTCGTTACGATTAAATTTCTTTTCCTGATTTTATTTTAAATCAGGTGCAATGATTTATACAACTTTCTGTCCCAGTATTGGCTTTGCACATATATTTATTAAAAATCTAGATTCTGACACTTTATATACTCATTCACTTCATGTAGTTATACTGATGCAAAAGATACTAGTATCATCATGATGTAAAGACTTTTTGCATATTCTTTTTCTCTTATGTCATATTTGACTTCCTTATTAATTTCTTCTCTGTCTACTAAAATGGGTATAAATACTTCCTCATTTCTTCTTTCATGCTACTCATTTCTTGATCCTGTAGAGAGTAGCTATACAAGAGTGTGGTATTACTGCTAAATTCCTCTGTTAGGAGCTTATGCCAAATTATATGCACTTAACTATTTTATTTTGTTGTGTAACATGCTTATAAAACGGTTTGCTCTGTGTGCTTTGTGACTGTCTTCTCTAGTACTGGACAATCGACATGTACTAAAAACCTTGATGCATCTGGTCCTCCCACATACCTCTTTTATTACTCTGTATGTGGGTGGTGCCAAATCCATTGCATCCTTATCTTTGTTACACATATCTTCTTCCTGGTTGTAACTCTTTTAGCACATTACGATTTGTGCTAATGAATATTTTCTTTTGTTCATAAGAGAGCTTTTTTTCACTACGAGATTGTTTGGTACTAATTTTTTCCCTTCCATTGGATCCCATTAAAAGCCTCTCTCTCACAAACTGTCTTTCCCATCTACCAAAACCTTATCAGCCAAAACTGGGTTATACGCTTATCAGTTGTCTTAGTAAGACCTTGATATGTCTCAAAACACTTTTTTTTTGTATGGTGATGTTTTCCTTTAAAAAGAAACAGGCCTCAAATAATTCAGAACGAAGATCCTGTGTTTTTCTGTCTGCTTCTATGAATTTACTGGAGACTTGAAAACAGCTGTTTGAAAACAGCCCTACCTTTTTCCTTATTACTTTGTGGAAAGGGTGAAGAATATTATCCACTCTAAACCCTGAATGAATCTGTTCATTAATATCTTCTATCTACCACTGTTTTCTGCAATATTTCTTTCCAGATCCGTTTCTTTCACTATTCTGCATGAAAGTCATAGTTAATTTCTTTTCCTCTGATAGGGTATCAGAATAAACCATTGCTAAGGCTGCTCAGATCCACAAAGAGTTAAACTAGAGATATTTTACAATAGAGGCTGTTTGGTGATGGTAGTTTGTTGCATTTGCTTTTCAACATGGTTAATTCAGGTA